CTGAATTCATCTCTCCCTGGGAGTCACAATGTTCCATTTCCTTCCACATCGCTTTCCTTCAGGATGGCCTCGATTACATAAAATCTACATCTGCATCTAATATGTGTGAGTGAGACATACCTAAGATGTCTCATTGCATTTTCACCCACTCTTCTAGAACTTATTTTCTCAAAAATTAGAAACCTTTTCATTTTGGTGAGTGCTGCTGCCGTTTTAGCAGCACTCGCATACTAAAAACCTTTTTCACAAAAAGTGGTTCCTATTGTTTTCTTTCGAACAATAAATCAAGCTAATGTTGGCTTACGCTTCATCATCTTAATATAAATGTCCCACTAGGTACTAAGGGTCACGTTTGAATTCTGTGAGATGTCTAAAGTTTCCGTAAGGCTGGTGGGATTTGGAAGAATTGGTTTAAAAAGTCTTAGAAATCTTTACAAAAATCTAGCAATTACTGTTAGAGCTGAAAGAGTTCAGTGGGCACATCCACAAGTAAATTGCTTTTTTTGTTGTTGCCTTGTAAGGCAATAAAGATCAGATTTATGCTATGCTTTATAAGCAGAATGCCACGGTTTTAAATCCTTAATCTTGGTTAGAATCACAGGATCCAGAACCAAAAAAAAAAAGAAGAGGAAAAGCAACGTGGGGTAAACCTTAGACGGGTCACCAGCCTCTGCTTTTATAACATTTCTCGTTTGTTCACGCGTTTGACAGTTTTTTTTAAGCTCTCCGTGTAATTTACTCGCAAGAGTAAGACTGTGAATCCAGTTGCAAATCATTTTAACATTTCTCCATGGTGTGTTCTTTTCAGATAACTAAAGACTCTTCAGTTGTTCATTGCTACTTTACTCACAACTGTGTTTTGCCAAAACACAGACTGATATATAGTGTTTTAACAAGATGTCTTTCTCTGAAACAGCCACAGACTTGAGGCGTTTCCTGCCTACTTCTGCCTCTTTACTCTTCATTTCATCCTCATCTGAAAACTCCACTAAGACCCATTCGGTTTGAAGCACATTTCTCTCTACACCCTCTCTCTCAGATTATTTTTCATCAACTGTGTGCAAGTTATTCTCAAATCTTTAAATGGCAGACCAGGAAGCTGTAGTTTGTGGCACTTTTCCACAGAGAGATGATCTTTTCTGCGAGACATCTCTAAAGTGTGTTACAGTATTATGTTTAAATCAAAACGGAGCAGGAGGGCTGGGTTGTAAATTGGTCTATCAGCTACTGTCTGCTCACAGACGGAGCAGAGGAAACCAGAAAATCTTTACTGTAAATTGGGAAACGCAGAAAAATGCAGGCACACAATTATGACTGGTAAAATGAATAACACATGACTAACACATGAATAACAGGTGCCATGAAAGTGAGCAGAGTTGAGCTGAAAGTGAACGTTTTCTCTTCAATGTTGACATGTTAGGAGCAGATAAAGAGTCCGACCAGGAAGAGACTGGGTTTGCTGCACAACTGGGTCAGAACATCTCCGTAACTGAAGTTCTTGTGGGATGTTTGAGCCTTTGGCGGTCAGTATCCATAACAAATGGGCTAAGGAAAGACGCACGGCTGGTGAAGGCTCATTGATGCATGTGGGGAGCAAAGGCTGACCCATTTGGTCTGATTCAACAGAGAAGCTGCTTTAACTCAAACTGATTATTGCTGTTCCTGATGTAACGGGTATCAGATTAGCTGGGGCATGGCAGCCTGTTGCATAATTGCAGACCAGACATCAACAACAGAGCCAGTAATGAGGACGTGACCAACTGAACAAGAGCACTGAGCAATGAAAGAAGGTGCCATGTAAGAAAACAGCAAGACATCAGAGGCAGTGTGATGTTTTAGCTAATCGTCAGCTGGACAATGATTGGCCAATGATTGGTGCACGTTACTTTGACCTAACCATTGTTGCAACCCTTGTACACCTTTCGTGGCTTTGGCCTGTTTCAGCAGGAGAAATGCACCACCAAGCAGAAATGGTTCAAAAGTGGTTTAAGAAGCATAACACATTCAAGATGTTGATTTTCCCTCCAGGTTCTCAATCCAGTTCTACATCTGTAGTATGAGCCTAATCGATGAAGGTCCCATCTCCCAACTTACAGGACTTCAAAGATTTTCTGCTACAGCACACATTTACAGGTGTGGTGGAGTCTTATCTTTGGGTGGGTTAAGGCTGCTTTGACAACAAGGGAGGGAGGCAGACACACCGTTAAGAGTCAACAAAAGTGATTCATTCAAAACTAATATTTGGCAAACGTAGTGAATGATCGGATGGATTAATTGGACCAGTGAAGTTATTTCCTAGCTCAAAAACAAGGCATAAAAACACAGACAATACAAACATACAGCAAACGACTTGTGAACATGAACACACTGTTGCAGAAGTCATCTGAAATAAAGAGTCGTTTGCTGTGGATGTCGTCTTTTCTTCGTAGACCAACGGCAATTCTCATTGTGTGTTATAACAATGCGTAGTAATGAAAAGTATCGTGACAAACATCAGCTTTATGCCTTTTGAAGCAGCTTTAACAAAAGAGTATGAACATGAGAACACGCTCCTTCAGTGATCAGACCAAGGACACATTCAGACAACAACTGATGCATCTGACTGGGAAACATGCCGCTGCATTCACACCGAGAAACTCAGACAGGCAGCGATTCAGACTGCAGAGCAGAGGCACACCGACATGCACTCTCACCCTTCGAGACTGGATCTCTTTGACGTATAAGGGCAACAAAAATTCGGACACTCCCTCCAGTCGGATCCCTTCTTTGGTAACTCGCAGGTTCCCCATGCCATCCTGAAAAAGACAGAGAGAGATTGGCGAGGTTAAGATAAAAACAATTGTTACATATGTACACTTTTTCCATTTCTACATGGTAGTAATAATAAAAAACATCTTGGTTTTCTTTACCGGTCTATGTTTAGGCTTCAAAGTTACGTGCAGAAATGGTAGCAGAGGAGCATTTAAATAAAAATGCTTAAACAAAAAAACTAAAGTGCCTCAATAAATAAACTTATTTCTTCTAATCGATTTGGAGTTTGTCATGTTGTAGTTTAGATAAAATAAAGTTTCATATTATCAGGTAAAGGCATGACCACACTGATGGAAAAAACCCCCATTAAACTAGTAAAGGAAGCAAAGACTACACAACTTCAGTCATTGAACTCTAAAGTTACTGAAGCATAGATGGAAGTTATGTGCTTTACAGCAGCATTTGCAATACATTGGTTTGCTCAGTGGGATAAAAGCGGCTTTGTGCCGGTTCGTGACCAGTTCTGCGGCGTTTTACAGATTCCACACGAGTGAATGCTCAAGAGATTGTTGGATCAGGCTTACACGGTGAGATGAAATTCCTTTAAAACAGTTATGTAGGGCATTATGAAAGCCGGGGCGTTTACACGGTGGCAGCTACTGTACCATATCCGATCTGCGCTTCTCAAAGTCACAGAGGAGGCGGCGCAGTGAGAGTGGATGTGCAATGGCTGCTCTAATGCCAAGTTAGCCAAATGGCCGAGGGGAAAAAAAGCATTTTGAAATAAAAATGTGATTCTGAACATTTCTGATGCCTCTGACATTTGTTTTTGTATTAATATAAAATGAAAGTGAAGGTAGTTGATAATGAATGCATTTGCCTTCAAATGGAGTCTGCATTCAAATTAGTGATGCTTTCTTTGTTTGTCTCTTTTCTATGATCACAAATATCGATAAGACCTTCAGTTGTGCAATGTGCCAGGAAATTATCAGGGTTTTATTAGAGTCAATGAAAAACAACAAAAATATATGTATTATCATTATACGATTTCTTCATATTATAACTGTGACATTTTACAAATACAAACTTTTATCTTAAATAGTGTAGAGCAGTGGTTCCCAAACTTTTTCTCCTGGCCCCCCATGTATTACAAATAGCTGTCTGGTTGAACGATGTGTGTGTATGTGTGTGTGTGTGTGTGTGTGTGTGTGTGTGTGTGTGTATGTGTGTGTGGGTGGGAGGGGGGTAAGAGGAATCTTAGAGACTCCCTGTCTCAACTAGTTGAAGCTCTACAACAGCAAAAGAAAAAAACAAATATATGCAACTGTAACATGTAAAAATCATTATAAATGCCCACTGAGAATTAAAACCGCTGAAACAGGAATTAGAAATTAAATTAATTTAAAATGAGAATTGAAAAGTTAAAAGCAAAGAAATTCTACTACAATTTAGAGACCATGTATAAAACCCAAAAGGCTAAAAACAAAACAAAAAACAACAAAACATCAGACCTGGATTAAAACAGTGATGTGCAGTTGGGGAGTCATCATGGAAAAATAATAAAATCATTTATAAAGATATTTTCACCCTGTGGTTTTTACTATAAAGTACCTATTTTTTCAATAATTTAACCAAATCTGATTATTTTTTTCTTCAAAATCGCTGAATTTTTCGCATTTTCCCATTCAAATGCTCGGAAGCGAAGCCAGTGAGGCAGCAGCGAGCTGAGCCTCACCTGGGAATGCTCAACCTCTCGCTGACTGCACCGGTTGCCATTCTATGAGAGCATGCTCCTCCTGTCTGTACGTCGCCAATAAAATGGTTAAAAACATGTATGAACTTATTTTCCATAATTTAGCTTATGTATTTAATGTACTGTGTTTTTATTGTCACCAACTGTGTGTGTAACGTGTTTCGTGTGCTGAGGAGCGATCAGAAACGGCAGAGAACAGATTCGAGGTGAGGTAGGCAGTTCTCGTGCCTCATCGCTGGGGGCGCTCATGATCCCAGACATTGTGACTCCACAACTGCAGAGTAAGAGACAGTAACAACGAGCTAGCCATACAGTAGCTGCGCTGATACAGAGAGCGAGAAAGACGTGGTTTTGAGTTGTACTTTAACGGTTTCTCCCTTTGCTGTTAAGCACAGCACGAAATTAATAATATCTACATGTCTAAGTTTGATTGAGATAACGGAATTATTCTGCGGCGGCGCGGCTGAGCATCACATGTTAAAGAATCGTCTTTTTTCCCTCCAGCATTGTACGCATGCGCGAAATTTCCTTATGTAAACAATAACATGCAGGGGTCTGGATTTGTAAATCCGATTATAATTAAGTCGGTGCCTGACCAGATATGAACCTCACCGCACGTCACTGGATTAAAACTATGCAGCGATTTAATTAACTGTTCAGCAAATAACAGGCTCAGTTTACTCAGTGTCAACTGTACCGATCAGCCTTGGTAGACAGGAACAGTTTGAATAACTTTACAGCAAAGTGTGTTTCGGATTCTCAAATTAAATCAGGCACTTGGTTCAACAATAAAAAGGCCTTCTACTCTCGGAGATGCCAAGAAACACAAGTAATCCTGTATTCTGAGAACATTTCATCAAGCCATTTTCACTCAGCCAAGAGAAAATATGAGAGTTTTTTTTTTTTTTTTCCTGGTGTCAGGTCTTGACAAATCAATGAACAGACGTCACTTCTTAGACTTCCTGCCATGTTGGGTTTTCAGATATGCTCTCATTTACTTTAAGTGATGTAAAAACTCCCAATCAGTGCCTGCCAAATTCAAGCAAAGGTGGCAAATACACGAGTAACTGATATTGATTTATCTGATTTGAACTTTTGGGAACCTATCAGGGTAAAGAAAACCTGTGCGTCTAATAAACTCTCTCAGCAATTTAGACAAACTAAATTCCAGGCAATGTGCAGCTTTTCCACACACACATTCACATTTGAGGAAACCAAACTGACAGTGTCTGATCAATACGAGGCTTTTCTGGTGTTGTTACATCTGCAGCCATTACTCTGACAATATAGTGGAGGCATGGAGCTTATTCAATAAGCAATTACACATCAGGCCCGGGGAATCTCAAATGAATCCACTCACTGTAAAATGAAAATACACTCATAAGATGAAACCCTACAGCTGGACGTAAGGACAAACGGGAGACTCCGGCTCAGACCGGCTCACTCCAGAACCCACTGAAGTGTAGAAACAAAATGACTCAGGCTGTTTTACTCCACCTCACTGCTCCGTCGCCCAAACGTCTTCCTTTCAACACTCCATCTCACATACCGATCATCGTTTCGTTTAATTTTTTTCATCTATTTCACGTCATTGTCATGTATTATGTGAAAAGGTCCCTGAATCTGTGTGGATAATGTAGACTGGATTTCTTGCGCTGTGTTATGTAGGTTTTGAAGAAAAATAAAAGAGGGGAAATCTGTTTTTATTTTTGTGTAATAAACACACAAAACACTTTTTGTGTTCATTCAATTTCTTAAATTTATTCAATTTATTTGAATAGTGTGTTATTTTCTGAAGACTTTGTGTCGCATCATGTTACCACTGACTGTAGTTCTACTCCTTAATTGAGGAAACTGACCTTGATGAAGTATGAGAGATGATGACCGCTTAGACAAAAACAAGCAGCCTCCTAACTAGTACATATGAAATAGTCATAAAATTTCATTTTGTTATGGTAAACAGAGCAGATCATATGTTTTTAAATCATTTGTCAAATTCCCCAAGATGGGTACAAATCGACTTATTGTCAGTAGAAAACATTCAGTGACAGACGCCCACGTTTTGTACCTAAATAGTACAGAAATGGCAAAAACATGCAACATTATTACTATTTCTTTTCTCACTGTAACATATTTAAGCATCTGGTAAATGTCTGATACTGGAAGCATACATACTATGTGTAAATGATCTTATTTGACATTAAATGCTTCCTCTAATATAACACAAAAGACTGCTTCCACATCAACAAAAAATAACTACATAGTATATCTGTTGGGGAAATCACAGATTTTTTTTGAACGTATGCAATAAAAAAAATAGACATAGTGCCAGTTTGGAAAGCCATAACTATTAAGTAGCTTAAAGAATGCTCCAGATACATCTCTTGAGGTTATGCAAGAGGTAGAGTAGGAGTAGAAAACAACTTATTTCTCAGGATAACTGATGTAAAACACAGCTTTCCTGGAAAGGTGCAGTAAAGCCTCTTATTTACTGCCGTTACAAAGAGTTTGTGGAAAGACGGACCAACAGGAGTCAGAGTTCTCCCTCTAACTTTACCTTGGCCTCACAATTATCCAAAACAACCACAATGCACACACATTCATGCACGGTATAGTCAGCATTCAGACAGGCTCCTATTACGAACACAGCCAAACAGACAAAACTGAACATTTACAGTCACATCAAGGTTCATTTTGAAAAGATTTTTAGCACTAATTAATATACTAATTATATGAAAATGGAACATATACAAACATACAAACACATATTTTCTTAATTAACTTTCACTTGGAGTTTAGAAAATAAAGACTGAAAGTCATCAACGTATCTAAAAGCAATTATTTGCTGTAGCAGGAGACTGTTGTAAAAAAAAAAAAAAAGCACATCTCTATAAATTTAGCATAGGAAAGGCAGCTCAAGGCAATACCCAAATAGGACATGTTTTGATATCATCTCTATAAGTGGATATGTGTGTGTGTGTGTGTGTGTGTGTGTGTGTGTGTTTGCGTGCGTGTGAATGTGTGACTTTGGTGTGTGCAAGGTCAACAGAGTTGAGTTGAGTGAGTTTGCAGACGTCCTCTTCAGTGTTGTTGAGATAATGATGGATTCCCCCATCATGGCGAGGTTAACTGGCAACCTGTCCTATTAGGTGAAAGGATGCCATTTGCAAGGTTACACACACACACACGCACACACACACCCCACCAATCCAGCCGAGGCATAGACATGTTTATCACCATGACTTTTAGATGTCCACACATGCACACTGATGTACATAGATGCACATTAGGCTCAATGTCTACCAGAGCTGAAATGTGTTTTAGGCGCCCTAAAATTTGGGACTGCGGTAATTTTTCATAAAATCCTTCATGTCAACACCAGACAACTACAGGGGAAATGAGGAATGGTGTCACCTTCCTCACAAAAAGAAAAAAAAAAGCATCTGGGAAAATGGCAGAAAGGACGCACTGATTAGGAACATAAAAAAATAAAAAAATAAAAAACGTCCTAGTTGCATATTTCAGCTGCAACTTTTACTTAAGACATATTTACGCACGACCACCGCTGATGTTTCTTTCTTGCCCTTTTCTCCAAAAGCACAGCAGTTATCAGTGGGGTGACATGGTTTGAATCTGAGAGGAGAAAAAAACTGTTTAGATGTGTAATTTATTTATCTAAACAGTTTTTCAATAGTACTAATAGCACTTAGTAAAATTGGTATTTCATCCCCGAGAGCACAACCAGTATTCTGGCTACACCCAATTTGTTACGTTGCATACGAGTCAATCAATGAATCATTATTAATAGACACAGCTGTCTGAAAGTTTAAGACTGTTTTAAGCTCACCGATCCACAGAATCATTTTTCTTGAACTGTAACCTCTCTGCCATAGTGGCAGATCAAGGAGCCATCAAAGGACGTCAGAGACGAGATGGATCTCCACGAAGCTGGAGTGTTCTCCAAGATCATCAACTTGGAGGCTCGGTGATAACTGTTGTACTGATTAATCGGAAATGGAAGAAATATGAAAGTACTGTCTGCCGCCCTCTGGAGCTCCACCCAAGGTCTTTGCGTGTGAGAATGATCACGAGAAAATTGAGAGATCAGCTAAGAGTTACACAGGAGGAGCACGTTAATGAGCCAAAGTCAGTTGGACGACAGTCACCGATCGAAATGATTCAGAAGTGGCTTGGGAGGAAGGCCTGCAGTCACAGAGGACTAAACTCGAGCTTTGACATCAATCCGACCCTCGGTGTTTGGAAGACAATTAGCGAGTATGACCCGGAAAACCCCGTTCTCACAGTCGAGCACAGAGTTGGGAATATTATGATTTGAGGCCATTTTCCTTCTAGGGTTGGTGATGACCTCACCTCATTAAGAGGTTCCTTCACTGTCAAATCTGGGATGAGAAAGAACACACACAAAAATGTGAGTCTGAGCATGAAAATAACTCAAAGCACACTGCGACAATAACAGAGTAGCAAGACAGGGGGGGGGGAAATCAAGGTCATGGAGGCTCAAGACCAAAGAAGATTTTCTACAGGATCTCTCCAGAGGGAGCTGTGGCTTCACGCAACATCAGCCAAGAACCCTGATGGATTTAAGTAAGAATGCACCCATAAATCAGCCAGTCGACAAATTGGCCCCGATTTCCTTAACTTTGGAAGATAGGTGATCGGCTGATACTTAAATCTGAAGCCGATTTTATCCACCAACCTGATCTACCTGGGCAAAGGCCTAAAAACCAACCGCTGTCCTCTTTTGCTCTTCTGTGAGAGGTTTGACCGACAGACCACCAGGTTATGTCTGCAAGTTCTCAGTTAGCAAAGGTCACTCCGCTGCTGCCAAATCAGAGCCTTTCTTACTATGTTTAGAGACATTTCAGACAAAAACAAAAACAGGAAGACACTGGTATCGGCAGGTCAGTCTTTTTAAAGATCAGTAACTGGCCAGAAAACTGTAATCTCTGCGCCCCGAGATTTGAGGTTTCTGTAAAGTAGGTCAATTTCCCGGTTTGAAAACCTGATGACCAATGAAAGTGGTGTAGCTCCTGTGCTTCCCATGTTTACCAAAACTTTCATTTAATGCATTTTTTCCTGGATTAGTCTCTTTCTTTTCACACCGAAATAAAACAACCATCTATCTTTTATTTGTAAGTGAGAACACTTAACTAAAATCAGCAGGCGATCAAATGCTTATTTTCCCCAGTGGGTGTTTGAAGATGCAGTCCCTTGTAGAAGTATTCCTTTGGATATAACATAGCGCATAGTTATGAACTGAAAGGGAAATGACAAGTTTCAAAATTATTTACAAATAATCAAAAAATTTGCAATTTCGCAAGGCATTGGACGGCTAAACAACCGAGTTGCCTGCATCTACATGAGATAAAATGCAAGTATTTCGAGTCCAACACTAAAATTCTGTCTGCTGTTAAACAGAACAAGAAAAACCTTTGCTGGAAATATGTGAATTATTTATGTCACGTTGATATTCTAAATTAAACAAACGTTCAAATCAAAAGATGTTAAATTCAATGTGCGCGCAATATCCCCCCCGAGGTCTCTGTGGTGAGCTTTCTTTTCTGGTGCTAAATAAAAAGATACCTGATGTGTCAGTTATCCCAGGGGGATAAATATTAACCTCTTCTGAGGCGGTTTGCCACTCTTTTGTGCGAGCCTGCAACCTTTCTCCAAAGCCCGTCTGACTGACAAATGACAGCAAAGACTTTCCTGATGCTTTGCTCTCCCCACACAAGCCACTCACCCACTCAAATTGGGCACAAAATCACAAAGGAGCATGTTGACAAGTGCAGTTAACATCACCTTGCTTCCACCAACAACTGTGTCCCACTTCACTTTTGTACCCCGCGAGACAGCCTGAGTGACAAATAACAGCAAAGGTCTAAACCCTTTTCACACTTGTACGCGTCTGCCTGCTTTGCTCCCGTCAATGCGCGTGTTCTTGTAGAAAGAAAATAAGTCTGAAACGTAAGGACTAAGGAGGAAAAGGAAAACTAGTTGTAAAGAAGAAGGTTGCTTTAATGCAATTTAAGGCGACAGCTGTTACAGAAACATACAGTTTGAGAAAACAAACTTTTTAACTGAATAATTAGAAACAGTTCAAGCCAGGAGACTTTGGTACTGTGCTTTTACTTTAGGAGTTCAGCAGCATAAAGGAGATTAGAGGCTTAATTTTCAGAGAATGTGCTGCATGCAAAGTAAAGTCTGGATACCCGTAACGTCCTTGAAACAAAAATCTGTTGGGTCAGAAGACTTCTCTAAAAAGGCATTGCAGAGCCGCACGATGCAGACAGTACTGCAGGAGCACAGCTGCATTCTGGGGGGAAAAAACGGGAAAGAGAGTCTGACACAGAAAAATACCTGGAGAAGATTTTATACTCCCAAAGGTGCCTGCGATCATGGGCGGTCTGGCCATCTGGCATACCGGGCGTTTTCCCAGAGGGCCTACAGTCCCGACACGTCTTTTATTTACAGGGTCAGACCAGCCCACTGAACCCGTAGATCATCAGACTACCAACACCCGGCTGGTCCAACCTCATTCGACAACAGCTCCTTTCCTTGTTGACGTGTCTTTGTAATGCATTTTGCAGAAAGAAAAGTCTTGCTACAGTCAACCACGGCCTCTTGAAACATGCGAATGTTTTACTGGTCCAATCGTATCACAAAGCATCTTTTCCCTTTGGCCCCATGTGCCAGTGCGCATTGCAGTGTTTGAACGAGATGGAGAAGAAATGTAAAGGAGACACAGAGAAACTAGGAGAAATAGACAAACGTAGTCTTCGAGCAAACGCAGTCAAATGTGCCAAAACAGGAGCTTGGTTTGCCACAGAACCTGCAGTCAGACGGACTGCTTTCACAACACTTGTTGCTGTGAAATAAGTCGGCTAAAGCAGTTTAACCCTCGGTAAAAGTGTATATATTTTAAAGGCTCTTATAAGATTATTCAACACCCCGTGTCGTTGCCTTACTACTTTCTAAGATGAGGTACAAAAAAATGACAGTCTTGGTATTTATTGGCTTTTCTTCATTTTCAGTTTGTGAGTTCACTTCACCTGCACCAAAACATGAAAAAGTTGGAACAAGGTTGAAACACTTCTAAGAAAAAAAAAATCAGTTCAAGTGTGTTGGATACAAATGTTGTGCCTTTTGAATTTGTATAACTCTTTAGATGATGTTAGAAAAAATATGTAAAGGACAGCTATAATGTTGGCTAGCTTTTAAATGTTGAGTGCAGCACAACGGGCTGGGGGAGGGGGGGTCCACAATATCAACAGAAAGACTCTTTTCTCACTTAATGTGGACAGAAAATATCAAATTCTACTTATTTTATTTCTTGGGACTTGCTTGAATAATTGCCAGACTCGTATTTGTTCAAATTTTAAGGGCACAGATTAATGGAGCAGCTATAACAACAACAAATAAAACATCAAAAGGAGGTTAGTCTGAATTTTAATGTGTTGTATTGACTCAGCAACCTCAACAAGGATAATTAAAAAGTATAAAAAAGGTTGTTAATATTGATTTGCTGATATTCAGGATGGCTGCTGTTACTTATTTTTCTTCCAAACACACATTTTAATCTATAATGGATTTGTGTTACGGAAAAAATAATTTCAAACGTCTTCAACATGTACTGGTTAAAACTCCGTAGTCTGAAGTGTTGTTATTCTCCACTTTGGTTGGTGACATTATTTATTTTGCAGAGATGACAAAGTTCAATGTGAGGAATAAAAAGTTTGATTGGGATCTCTTCTTAAAATGGATTCCACTCATTTATAAATATATATATATTTATATATATTAGTCCTGTATTAAGTTTAGTTTAAAGAAAACTTCACACTTTCCAGCTCACAGCCCAGCAGGTTGAACCCCTACCCCTATAAGAAACATCTAAAACCCGATTAAGTGCCAGTGTTGCTTTCACAGTCAACTTATCAGTTTCTCAGAAAATGTGTCCATGTGTTTAGTTTTACTCTGAGTCAGAGTAAAACTAAACACATGGACACATTTTCTATCCAGTTTGGTGTTCCTGTGGGGTTTCCTCCAGCAAACTGATTCCAGTGATGACCTGGTTCCATGCCGACTGAGTTTGCTCACCAATCGTCCTTTGGTTTTCCATCATCACAAGGACTTACACCAGAAACCATAGATTGTTGATTTTTTTTTTCTTTTTTGTTTTAACCCAAATCCGGACCTGGGCCGGTGGAGGAAAAAAAAGAAAGAAAAAAAAATAAACAAAAAAAAAAAAACTTTTGTAAAAAGAAGTAAGTACACTGATTCGAGGGACGTAATCAACATTATGAGAGTCTCGTCTAAACTCATGACTTGGTTCAATTTTAATACGATTGATGTAAGCAGCAGTTTTAAAAAAAATTCCATCAGCAGCTCAGTAAGACGAGCTTACTTTCCATTATCTGTTCACTGTTCAGTCAACATGGTCAGTCACTTTGTTTGAGTAGGTAAATGTGCAGCGTTGTTTTCCATTCAGCCTAAATTTCAGAATCAGTTCTTAAGATTCAGCTTTCTTTGTGTTCCTAAAGGGAAATTAGTGTTACAGCAAGTAAAAATAAAAAAAATCTACAATAAACTTAAAGATCTAAAAGTGAGGGATAGTAAATTGAGCAGAAACAACATCAGTAGCATACGATGTAGCTAAAGTGCTAACAGTATGTATTCATCATCAATTCCTTCCAACACCAATATCAACCAATTAGATACAACGGCCTTGTCCAAGGGTAAAACCGAAAATAGCTGCAGACGAAGGAGTGATTCCTCGTTACTTTTCATATGAGGAAGTCTGGGCTGGAGGTCAGAAAACAGAAACTGGACTTTGATTATAATAATATTGAAATGTGTTCATTATAAGCCAGACACATATTTACGCCGTTGCATTAAGTCTTTCAATACACACCTGAGCAGAGGAAAGAACATGCCTGCAACTATTTTACTGAACATTCCCCTTTTCAGGAATTTTACAATGGTTTGAGGCAAATTTGAAACAATAGGCCACCAGGGAATAAATGCAGGTTAAGTAGAAACCATTTCAATCAGGATCTATGAAGGTGTGTGCTTTTGGTTATCAATCCTTTTTGTATTTGTGTTCCGTTCTTTTATTTCACAGATCAGTTCATTCTTCTTTGCATTTGATCTAACCTTTTAGTAGAGTCTTCTTTGTTTCCTCCCAGTTTCCTCCCTGGTTCTTCATTGTCAGCATCCTCCATGACGGTTTTACAGATCTCAAAGTGCTTACCTTTTTGTTTTTTTGTCTTTTACTTCTTCTGTGTCAGTTTCTCAGATCTGTAACTCTTACTTCAAACAATTCCAACATCATCAACATGAAACTACAACTATATTGTCTGTGTCATCAGGATATGGTCTGAAAGTCCTGCCTTCTCCACTGCCGCTGGAAGAAATGGAGCATCACTTGGCCAATCCCCAGCTAGCCGCACAGGGCGCTGACATGATGGCTACTTCTCACAGCTAACACCAGAGACAGACGCCTCCATTCCTACTTCTCACGTTTTTCAAATCTGGGGAACATCTGGAAAACCAGCTCTGATCTACAGCACATTAAACTAACACGCAGACAAGATTATTCTGAACACAAACTGAAACAGCTTCACATTTTCATCCTAGCTTGATGTGACTGGCTTAAATGTGACAAAAAAAAGAAAAAAAAAAAGAAGATCCTTTCCTGGATATGAACATCTAACTTTCTATTCACACAGTGTAATAAACAGCTTTGCACTGATGTGAGAACATAAAATAAAAAAAAAGCTTAGTTCAAAATGTTCCCTAAATAGCTGCGCTAGTAAAAACACTTCAACACATTTTTACGACTTATTGTGAGCTGTAAAAAAAAAGATTTCCGAAATGCTCTTCAATGTCATGTATTATAAGAGGTAAACTGTAACTTCATCTGTTCAATGACAAAGGCTCTGAGGACATCTTAAAGCCAGCCTTGTGTCAAATCCAATGCAGTCTGCCAGCTATTCGCCATGGCACAGGCAAAATGTTCTCCCTCTCCCTCTGCTACAGTCTGATGCTCTCACTCCCTCTCTCCCTATATGCGTATATAATTTAAAATCTTTCTTCTTTAAGTTTGTCAAAGAATCCTATTCCATTTTAGGCTAGAGCTGCAGTAGAAATGCAGAACTGTGACTTAGGAGAGATACAAAAAAAAAAAAAAAAAAAAAAAAAAACAAAAAAAAGGGGCCACGCCAAAAAA